TCCAACCGTTCCCCTACCCCTGCCATCCCACCCCCAAACCCTGGCCCTCAGCACCGCCTCTGCCCGGCTGTTAAATCCCCCCAGGGCTGGGGACTCGACCCCTTCCCTGGGCAGCCCCTTCCAGTGCCTGACAGCCCCAAGGGGAAGGAATTGTTCCCCATGGCCAACCTCACCCTGCCCTGGCACAACTTGAGGCCGGTGCCCCTCGTCCCATCGCCCCTTCCCTGGGAGCAGAGCCCGACCCCCCCGGCTCCCCCCTCCTCTCAGGCAGTTGTAGGGAGTGATGAGGGCTCCCCTCAGCCTCCTCTGCTCCAGGCTGAACCCCCCCAGCTCCCCCAGCCGCTCCCCAGCAGCCTGGGTCTCCAGACCCCTCCCCAGCTCTGTTGCTCTCCTCTGGACAGGCTCCAGCAACACGTCGTCTTCCTTGTAGTGAGGGGCCCAAAACTGAACACACAGAGTGCAACTCTGCCATCTTACACACCCCCAAAGCGCCCAGCCCCAGGCTCAGCGGATGCCCCACAGCTCTGGAGCTCACCCCACTCTCAGGAGCCGCTGTCAGAGCAGGATAGGCATAAGCACTGCCCCCCGGGCAGATACAGCTATAGGAGCAAGGTGCCCTTGAGAGAAGGGTGCTGATCATCCCCGTGCTGGGGGAAGATTCACTCGTAAGTGGAGATGAAGATAGCCCGTAACCCCAAGGAGCCACCCGAGTGACAAATCCTGCTCATTGACAAACACGACTAAGCTCGCGCATCTTGTTTCTGACCTATGTGTGCCTTGGAGCATTCTCCTTGCCTGATGCACATCCTACCCGCAGTCCCAGGAGCATAGCTCCCTGGGGCTGAGGACACGTGCACGTGTCTCTCATCGAAAGGAAAAAAAGGACACTTGGTTCCCCTCCTTTGCAGGAAGAACAGGAGATCCCTCCCCACGGAAGGTAACACGAGGACAAGGCAGCCTGGGCAGCAGAGCTCTGGTACTCACCGCCGAAGCCGACAGCCATGAAGCGTGCCGCAGGAGACAGGCTGAGCGATGTGGCGAAGTATGGCAAGGTGATCTTCTCGACTACCTGCGTTCCAGCAAGAGAAACACACCAACACCTCAGAAACGAGCAGGCAGGAGACCAGAGCCGCTGCCGTGACAGTTGTTAGGGGGGTGAAGGATTCCTCTCAAAGGGGAGGCTGACAGATGCACAGCACCTCTCAGGAGCTCAGAAACCTGCCAAAAGGCACTGACTTTCCAGAGGAGACTTGACTCAATGATTTAGAGACCGTTAGCGCTCCTGAAAGCAAACGCCTTCTCCTCCAGTGGGATGGAAAAGCAGCAGGGACTGGCAGCCTGCCCAGACGTGGCCCGAGGCAGGGG